CCATATATCTGATTTTTGAGTGGGCGTATGTCGCCAGTATGCTGCGTTGCTGTTTACATGCATGAAAAGTGTGTTTGAGAACAAGTCTGATTGCATTTCCTAGAATAGCAGTTTTATCTTCTTTCTGCCAAACGAGCCTTCTCCTAGAATAGCAGTTTTATCTTCTTTCTGCCGGACGAGCCTTCTCTCCTAGAATAGCAGTTTTATCTTCTTTCTACCGGGTGAGTTGGATTTCACACTAGTGGCGACCGGCGGATGGTCTGAATTCAGAAGCAATTCATGGACAAAGCAATTCACGAACAACAGAGCTGCGCAATCAACTCACCAAATCAAGCTACATACTCGTGACTCTGCCTTCCAGAGCAGCCTCATGTGTTCCTTTACCTGCCACAATTCCAGCAGACATGGCATAGTCAATTTCCCTTCTTTTTTTTTTTGTATGTGTATGTGCGTGTTTGTTTTCAATTCCAATTCCCTCTTGGGATCTTTCCAGCAGGCTTTTGCATCTATGTTTTCATTCCCTGTCCCCCCCCCCCCCCCCCTTCTCTTCTCACCTCACGCCACATACACATCCGCCATTTCTTGTTTTCATCAATGAAGCTGCTAAACAACTTTCTAAAGGCCCGTTCCAAACAAAGGGGTTCTCTCAAGGCCGCACTCCCAAGGCGGCAACACAAGGATAAGTCCAAGTACAGCATACAAAAGAAAACCATAAAAAAAAGCTGAAATAATGTGAAATTGCAAAAGGCAATATAATAAATATATATAACTGGCACATCAAAGAAGTGCACGACATAACAAACTACTGGACTGCTCTTTCGTAAATAAATTATTTTGTGTTTCTCGTATAATTTTCCGTGACTTAGCATCCAGAGCTGCTTTATATGGCAGAGATAAATCTAGTTGCTGGTTGTTCATATACACATCTGTTATTTACGTAAACCATGCGGTCAAGCCACAGTGGCCTACTTCACTCACTGGTTAAGCAGATCACCGCTTACTTAGATCAGTCGAGCAGATCGGCTGACCGGAGAAGATTGATTAAGCAGATCGTTGAGCGGAGCAGATCGGTTGAGTAGATCACCTGAGAAGATTGATTAAGCAGATCGTTGTAGACATTCACTTGCCGGTTGAGGAGATCAGTTAATTAGTTTGAGTAGATCACCTGAGAAGATTGATTAAGCAGATCGTTGAGACTACGAGACATTCACTTGCCGGTTGAGCAGATCAGTTAAGAAGATTCGTTCAGCAGATCAGTTGAGCAGGCGACGTTGTTAGGCTGTTCCGTTAAAATTGGAACGATACAGAGAAGATTAGCATGGCCCCTGCGCAAGGATGGCACGCATAAATCAAGAACTGGTCCAAAAAAAAAAAAAAAAAAAAAAAGG